TAAGGTTACTTGTACTTTTCACCTAAGCTCATTGATTTGAGAATGACAGCTGCTGTAGCATTCATTTTAGGACCTCAAAGGTTGAGCCTGGTTGATTTCAGGCCTTAGGAAACAATCCCAATCTGAGTTTTGGCTACTGATCACCGTTAAAAGAAATTGACCATTAATACGAATGAATAAATGCTGAAGAAAAGCACTTTATGGCCGGGCTCGGTGGCTCAGCCTGTAATCCCAGCACTTTGGGAGGCCGAGGTGAGTGGGTTGCCTGAGCCCGCGGGTTCGAGACCCACCTGGGCAACTTGACAAGACCTCATCTCTACAACAAATCAAAAATTAGCCGGGCATGGTAGCGCACGCCTGTAGTTCCAGTTACTCGGAAGGCTGAGGCGGAAGGATCGCTGGAGCACAGCAGGTCGAGGCTGTGATGGCCGGGAGCGGCCATTGCACTCCAGTCTGGGTGACAGAGTGAGACTCCAACTCAAAAAAAAAAAAGAAAAGCACTTCATTTTCATTAATCGATAGGGACAGTAAACAATCACTACTGAGAAAAAGTAGTAACAATATACAAACAAAATATACAACAAAATTAACTGGGAAAGTAATCAAAAGAAAATTTAAACTTTTGGAACCTAACTATTTCATAAAATTCAAGAGTTTCACAAATTCAGTCTTTAGTATATTCATTACTAAAATAACCCCTTGAAAACCATGTACATTCTACATGTCCAGCAGGTCATTATTAATATTCATTAACACTAAGGAGAAAGACAATATCATTTCAAAAGAAGAAAATAAACTTCCACCACTGGCAAAATCTTTATTTGTGGCTCCCACATGAAATAATTGTGTCTTTTTAGATTCTATATCTTTTCTTCTACTCAAGATACTTAGACTTAAATGCAAGGTAAATTCAGCAATTGTGATGGTTTCACTAACCAAGAAAATTACATTTTCTAAAAGGTTTCATCTGGTAATAAAAATTCTAAATATTTATACTGCATTTGGTAAAGCAGATAATCAAATAGTTTACCATTGATTTAAGTAGCAAGTATTCAAAATGACTATAGACAAACAACCAACAATGACTCAACATCCCGCTAATTTAATCATAGAAAGTACTGTGCAGAAGACTAAGGCAGTGAATTTATAATAAAGACATAATATGACAGGGCAGATGATGATAATCTGGGCAGGCTTTCCTTGAGTATATACCATGTACTTAGAAATTTCTCACATAACTTCTGAGCTCACAATAATCCTACACACTAGACAAGCTCTCTACTTACTTTAGAACAAGAAAATGGAGACTCAGTGAGTTACAATAACTTGCCAGAGGTTCATACTGAAGGTGAGTGCATAACTTGGGATTTTTAACCAACGAGTGCCAGATACCATACCCAGCAGGCTTTTGGTTCTGCCTGTGCAAACCTACAAACACCTCAGACAAAGCAAAATATGACTTCATGAGGATAAGGACAACTAGAAAACTGTATAGTAATTAGTAGCTTATAAGAAACTCTTTATAGCATACAGTTATATTATTTCACTTCCTTTATAATACTTCAGCATAGATAACTCTGTGTGTGTATACACGGATGTGTGTTTCTATACATATATGTTATTTTAGCCCTATAGTGCCTATATAAATGGCTAAAATAACATTACAGTCCCAAATCAGAAATCTGTCCTCCAAAAAGTTACTAAATGCATATTTCAGCTACCACAATCTCAACTAGTGCTAAAAAAAAAAAAAAAGTTAATTGGTATTAATAGACAGAAGGGGTAAAAACGTCATGAGTAAAAAACAGTGGTCAAGATATGAAGATTAGTTAAAAACATTAGAGACAGGCCTGCTGTTCACAAAATTCAAAATATCAAGAGTTATTTGTGTTTTGGAATTAAGAATTTCCTGTAATTAGAAAACTAATATTATGAAAGTATCCATATTACCTGTTTCCCTGGAGCCGGCTTAGGGAAAGCAATCAAATATATGAAATTTCTCAGCTAGGAGCAAGGCTACTCACACAAAGCAGAATAAATAGACTATAATAAATAGCCTCCTGTCAATTCAAAGCTCTCTGTTATCAGAGCTTTTTTGGATTTTTGGCATTGCAGATAAGGGATTGTAGACCTGTAACTGTGAATAGCCAAATTACTTAGGCCAATTGCAATTCATACAAAACATCTTCTTTGAAAGCTGATATTAAACTTTACACTAACAGTATTCCATATGCAAGCATAAAAACCCTTCACCCCTCCAGAATTTGGCTGACAATGATATATATATACAGAATAGGTTGGAAGCTAAGAGCAAAGCTCCAGTAAAAGGTTTCTCAGTAGACATTACAGTGGGCCCAATGGCCACGTACTGGAACGTGTTACATTATTAATAAAAGAGGTCCCCATATCGTTAATGTGATGTGGTTTCTAAACTCAGTACAGACACGAACCACTAAGCAGAATCACTAGACAGATCTAAGAGGAAGGTACACAGAGCAGTCACCAGCAATAGTTGACATTCTGATTCAATGAAGAAAAATGAAACCATTTTTGTTTTTTTTTTAAGTAAGAGTCTGAGGGGACAGCCAAAAAGGCTTCATTTTCAATCCTCACTACACCGCTATGAGTTGTGTGATCTTGAGTAATTCCTGAACTTCTCTGTACTTCAGTTTATTCATTGATATAACATTGATGAAAATGCTGCCTGTCTTCTACGGTCATTATGAAGATTAAATGAAATAATGCATTGTGAAGAGCTCAGCACAGTACCTGACATTGAAAACATAGTCAACAAAGTTTATATACTATAAACAAAGCACAAAATCTCACAAAGCATAGCAGCCTGATCAATTTACTATTAATTCTTCAAATCTCAGAGCATAAAGATCATTACCAGCATTTAATATCAAAAAATATCATCTCAGCTGTGCTCTGTGACTTTGAACATGTCATTTAACTTCTCTGGGTCTGAGAACATTAGATTAGATTATGTATTCTCAACAGAGGTGATATAAATGGTTATTTTGGGGAGAAAGGGGTAGAAAACATTGCCTCTTTTTATACATAAAGTACAACCATATGGTATACAGTATATCAAAGTGTTAAAATTTCATGGTGGGGGGTTCTAAAAAGGCTTCTTAGGGAAGCAATAATTCTTTTTAAAAAGTAAGAAACACTGCTTTAGACGAAACAGAAGGTTATTTACATCTCTTAAATTCCATTTTTGCAACAATAACACAAAGAATTCCACATAAAAAAAAAAAGGTCAAATACAGGTCCACATATTTTGTTTAAAAAAAAAATGAAAGATTTGGATATTCTACGATATCCATTTAGAAAAATTAACAATTGTAAATATCATTGTGTTAAAAAGAGACTAGCTGTCATTCATAAAGGGATCCTGTGAGCCAGTTTTATTCTATTTTTCCTGCTTTATAGATAACATATCTCCATCATATCTAAAGGTTCACATAATTACTTATTTTCAAGAAAAATTCAGAAAGAAAATAGAACAAGAACAACCACTTATAATGAAAAAAAAAATTCAGAATTCTGTGGTTGTCTTAGCTATGATAAATGAAAGATCACCTTGGAATATAATTCATTTTTAATTGCTTATTCCATCTAACCTAACTACTATTGTAGGCTGTCTTAAAACATTTGCAAAGCAAAAACAAAAAAAGATTGGTGGTGCTAAATAAAGCAGGCAACACATTTCTAAGTGATCAATTTTTCTAGTATCAATTAGAACAAAAGAAAATTCTAACTCTTATTCATAAACGGAATTGTTGGAAACACAGAGATAAAGTATGTTTAAGGACTATCTCTCTTAAGGTTAAAACTGTTTTAAGTTCATCTTCTTCCCCGCCCTACTATGGTATCCTTACAAATAATCTATTACAATAAAAGAGAAAAGTTGCAGTAAAATGCTAGAAAGATCAATATTGTAGTCAATCTGTTTTAACTACTTGTCAAGTTTTGTACTTGCCAAACCAGCCTTCTTTTTTCTAGCATCCTGAACATATCCAGCAACACATTCAGGTTCACACCCTGCCCTCATAAACTCTTCTTCGAGTTTTTAGAACTACTTCAGAGATTCCAACTCAAATAACATTCTGGAAATGTATGAAATTCATCCATGTCAAACAGTTATTAAATGCTTGGCCATATTTTACTATCAGTAATATATAACCATAATGTACTCTATTATCCATTTTATTCACTACAAAATAAATATGTTTTGATATCAAATTAGCTTTAAGACAGTTGCATTTTAATAGATAAAGATGTGTGTAATTTCACTTAGATTCAGACATTCCCATTACTATGCAGAAAGTAAACACTTTTTTAAACTAATGATGAATATGAATATGCAATCTTAAAGAAATGCTAACCACTGTTTACAGTTCCTCAAATGCTAGGTGTTCAAGTGGCAGAAAAATCTCTTGTAAACACCTATGCTATTTTAGGTTGTTCTGAATATACTAACTAAACAGAGTAATGGGAAGAAAAGATAAATTAGTTGAAACCCTAATTACACATTTTTTCAGGGGTCTAGTGTTGGATCCATATGTGTCTAGACCTCAGGTAAGGATGCCCCAGCCAAATAGCACACTATTGTAACTACTATTAGAGAAAATATAGCCCTGATACATGAGTAAATACCTGCACTCCTTACCATCAGAGTGCTACAAAATGTATTTTAGATACTATTGAAAGGCATAAGAAAACCGGAACACACAAAATGATCATTGACAAGGTTTAGGTTTATTCAAAAAAAAAAAAAATCTCCATTGTAGGAATTCAAGTAGATATTGTATAAATATATATTCTATACTAAGTATGATAATGTTCACTCAGCACGTCATAATATAAAAATGGAAAAAATAATGAAATGAACTTGTACTAGTCACATATTTGGCATATTTCCACGAGAAAATCAAACCAATCAAATTCTCAACTTGACAATATACATCCACCTGCCAGAACCTTAGAGTTACCTTTGTTTTAGATTGATCCAGGATGTTTTTAAGTACTCGGTGGTTTCTTTCACATTCCTTGTGTCATCATTCCCATAGTCCTCCAGCAATTTCTGCAGGACATTATCAAACGCCATGACAATACCATCACCAGGACCAAGTTCTTGAAGCAATATCTAAGGTGCAAGTTCAGGTGTACTTGTTAGACCTGGTGACTTAGTAACTAGTATTATGAAACAATGGTACTCCCAGCAGGTTTTAACATGTTTTAGACACAGTAACCACAGAAGAAAATAGATTAGGGCGCAAATTCTGTATGTAAGCCTAAAATAATTATAGATGTGAAAAGAAAAATAGAGGATGATATTAAAAGATTATTTTTTTCTCTTTGAGATATTTTACTTCTTCAAATCATTTGTCTTTTTCATTCTTTCCACTATACATCTGACCCTTACAGGAACATGCGTCACATAGGAATGAACACATAGAGAGCTCCTCTACAAGTGCTTGAAGAAATGCCAAGAGCAAACAATATGGAAGTCTTCCATTTCTTGCCCCTTGATCACTGTGTGTGCTTACGCAGTTAACTGCTTGACTAGATCAAGCAGTCAGGCAAGGTTTGCTGAGAATCTGCTTGAGTGGACACATTGACAATGAGTTTGTCCACAAGAACTGGTTCCTTGACACAGTTTTTCAACCTCTGAGAGTTTCTGAATCAAGATACTCCCCCATGAAATCTAAATGACAATGCTTTAATGTTTCTATAATGCTTTTTGTAGCAACTGGGGAAGAAAAATTCACCCTGAGGTATCAGAAGGAAAAAACCACACTGGTGATTAGAAAAGAATATTCTAAGATGATGATTGAAACATTGCTATCACTTTTAATTGTATTCCTCTAGGTAAGTGTCCAAGGGCTTTGCTATTACTTTTGAGTCATAAACACAGAGGATGATCTGGAAACAAGTACACCTGGCCACTGGCTTTTCAAATTGTAACCAAGGAAAACCTACATCTGTGAAGAATAAAAACATACTTCCATGTTTTAGATTTTGTTTCCTACATATTCTCTATTATATTATTCACAAACACACACTTTCATCTTAGGCTAGCTGAATGGTAAATAAATGTTACACAAAATATAACCTCACAACTACAATCTCCCAATCAAGAATATTTTAATGATTATAGAGAAAAATCTAAAGTAGCACTTTGAAATAATCATAGGTGTTCATTATTATTAACTCCATAGCCAAACTCATCACCATAAAAGTATTTGGTATTATGAAACTGATAAAACAGTTTTATTAAAAAGGTTTTAAAAGAGGGCTGAGTGTGGTGGTTCATGCCTATAATCCTAGCTACTTAGGAGGCTGAGGTGGGAGGATCACTTAAGGCAAGGAGTTCCAAACCAGTCTGGCAACATAGCCAGACATCATCTCTACCAAAAAAATGTGCTAAACTAGCCAGGTGTGGTGGTTCATGCCTGTAGATCCTGCTACTGAGGTGGCTGAGGCAGGAAGATCCATTGAGAACAGGAGGTCAAGGTTGCAGTGAGCTATTGATAGTGCTATTACACCCCAGCTTGGGCAACAGAGCAAGACCTTGTCTCTTAATATAAAAATAAAAACAAAGATATCAAAAGAAACTAAACTGACATATTACTTGATCTGCTCACTATAGTAGTGCTCAAATGAAAGTCTCAGGAAATTTTATAAATAAAAATAAACTTCAAGATAAGGAAGGAAGGAAGCAAAAAAAATTCCTAGAATCTTGAAAATGTTCTGTTTCTAGATGCTGGCTCATGGGTGTGTTCCACTTGCAAAAAGTCAGTGAACTAAAAATCTAGGAGACAGCACATTCCTATTTGCTCTGTCCATAGAAATTTTTCAAAAACATTCCTAATCAAATTGTTCATATAAATTTCAATATGTATCCTAAGAACTTAGGAATGTACCATGACAAGAGTCCTAAGAATTACAGTTAACAGAAAAAACAAGTTCATCCAACAAAATGATACAAAAATATCAAGTGAATCTTACTTGGTTATCAGCGATTTGTTTGGTAAGTGAATCCCTTCGGGCTTGCTGAAGGATATAGAGCCGAGCTTCATATTTTCTCATAAGCTCTTCGGTCTCTTCCCTGTGGTCATCCCACTGAAGACTGTCAATAATCATGTCCTCGAGCTGCTGCTGTCGCAGCTCAACACCGTGCTGGGTGCTATCCCACTGGTTCTTCACCTTTTCCACTAGGGGTAGCATTATAAAAAAAAAAGTACCAAAAAGTAACTCTCAGGAAAAAAAAAAAAAACCTGATATCAAACTTATCCTAAATAAGTCTACAAACAAAAAAGAAAGGAGGAAAATTGATAAATCCATTCTAAAGGAATTTTAATACATATCACCATACTAGATAATAGATATATTTCTGAAACTATTCTTGAGGAAAAAAAAAATCTTGGATTAAAAGCTATTCTAAACGCACTAAAACATGGTACAATAAACACAACTCCTATTATAAACTGATGTAGCAAAGAAAGTATAAAGAAAATAATTTTCTATTTAATTTTGTATTTATTGAACCTGGTTTGATGATGGTAGAGTCTAACATTGTTTCATGATGGAACTTTTAAGGCAGAGATATAGTCAGGAGTTACCCTCAAAGGAGATTTCGCTAAGGTAGTCTTGATTTTAAAAGAAAATGAACTATTAAAGATATTTTCACATCTGTTCTATTGTAGCTTAAAAGTAAGCATCTTTAGATGTTCAGGTTCAAGAGCAACACTACAAGTAAGGTAGATTCAAGTTCTATGTGTACCCATTAGCCAATATTCCTATTGGCTGTTTTCCTTCCTTCTTTTGATTGTTGTTTCTCTATAGTCCTCCTCCTCTCATTTTCACTTTCTGTCCCTGACAAATAGAAAAGGGATGAGAAAAAAAAAAAGATGGTAGAAAAAACCAAACTTTTTCTATTTTTAACATGGAGTTAAGGAAATACAGATCTAAGGAAACTTAAACTTTTGATTAATTACTTCAGTGTAGCTTATGCATCTTGGACTGAAGTAAGAGTAAACAATAAGTTGGAATATCTGCAGGAGCCCATTGGTAATAAGCAGGTAGAAGGTTAAAAACACACTGCTAGAAGACGCTTTGGGTGTCAGACAGACTGAAAGACTACAGTGAAGTACAAGGCCCAAGAAGAATTTAACTACAAGATAACACTGCAGCTGAGCTATCATGGAGTATTTTGGCAAAATTCTTGGGATAATATATGGTTAGAGTAAACCATAAAAGCTATCAACTTAAGATTGTTCAGAAGGCTGTAAATTATACTTACATGTCATCATTCTTAAAAACTGCTCAGTGAGATTATGTGTTTATGCTACCTTGTTTAGCAGTTTAGATAAATTGCTAAAGTTTTTAACTTAAGGAAAGAGATGACAAATTTATCATAATGTTCTACTTGTCCGTTAAAAGTTACTAAAGTACTTATGACCAATTATTACTAATAGAATCCTTAAACATTGAATATATAAAACTTTAAATAAAACTAAAGACATCAAGCAACAGTAAACATCACAGATCTATCATTTAAAATACGTAAATTATCCTATTCAGGGTAAATGCTAAAAACAGGTAACTATTGGTAGTACACTACAGCTGAGAAGAGTTTTTCATATGAGAAGCAATGAAGACTATGGAACCTCTGTACACATACAAAAAGGAAAAGAAAAACAGAGTATTCAATAGAAAAAGGAAGACATTCCGGAGAAGAAAAGCCTTATAAAAAACTTTGAAAGAAGTCTTGGACAAATAGAAAGGTGATGAAAAAAAAAGAAAGGGAAAGCAAACTAGAGGTGGCTTTGTAAATAGTATGGTATCACTAAAGCAGAGGAGTACCCCGCCTTCTGAGTGGAAACTTGATCACTCCAAAGTTCCATAATAGGCACCATCCATCAACCAATAAAAAAAAGGAGCGAGAAAGAAGGATGACGGTTTATTTAGTAAAAATAAGCTAATACTGCCAGACACTAAAAGTTCTTTGCTAACTCATCTCCTGAAATAACCTTGTTACTACCACATTTACTTTGGAACAGAAACATACTTTCTACAAGAGTCATAGTTGATTTTCCCCCTTGAGAAAGATTAGACTTTATCTTTCCAGTTTATATTTTGCCACAATATTTATTAAGTAGTTCATTTGTATTGGGCATTGTGAAGGGTTCAAGGGCCAGAAAGGTGGATATTCACCATCTATGGAGGAGAGAGAGAATTAAAGAAGCTATGCGATCTGTAATAAAGTTATGGGGGAAAGGCCAAAGCAGGAACTAAAGATAGAAAATATAGTTCCCTGAGGATGAAAAGAGGTGGGAACGACTTCACAAAAGGGGTGATATTTTAGCTGATGAGTAGAATTTCACCTGGAAAGAAAAGGCCAAGAGAGAAAAAAAAAACATGAACAGAGGTAAGGAGACTAGGAAATGTCAGGACGTTTTAAAGAGTATATATAGTACAGAATAGTCACAGATCAGGTAGAGGACAGAAGTGAGAGAAGGGATAATGAGAGCAGATTGCGACAGGCCCCAGATGTCATTCTTGAGAATTTAGACTGTGTCTTGCATACCACCAGATTTAACAGATGCTTCTGAGCTAGCAAGAAAACCCAAACAGGAATTTTTGTTTGCTATTGTTTGAATGACTACTTTTTGTTTTATCTCATTTTTAACTAAAATATCCCCCAAATTAGTACTAGACACACAAGCACATAGTAGTTGCTCAATAAATATTTGTGGAATGAATTTTAAGGTGAGTTAAAAGATGTGGCAAGATCTGATTTCAGTAAATAAAGTGCAGTGGGAGAATAGATTTGCATTCTTACGGGTTCTCTATCTTTTGGGGGTTTTTTATTCCTTTAAAAGAAATCCTAACTTAAGAAAGTAAAGCCCAATATGTAACTGATTTGCTTAAAAATAACAATGCCAGTACTTAAGGAATTCATAAGGTAACTGTAATAATGTTCACAAACAATAAAAATAAGGGAAAGTTATACATTTCTTTATAAATAAAAAGTATCAAATATTAAACAATATTACTTTCTAGTTGAATTATCTTTGAAAATGTGTGTCACTATTTTCAAGGAAAATGGCTGATGATATGTAATTTTTTCTAAAAAACTTACACTTTTCTGTGATTGCTGTTCTCACATCTGAACTAGAAGCTTTATTTTTCAAATTCTGTGCCAATGTAAAAACATAATCGAGCTGAGGATGGCGCTGTTCCAAGTCAGCCTTTGTAATCTGTAAAGTAGAAATGATTATTCAAATAGTTTAATAAGCTGTACAGGAAGAATAATTTTTAAAAATAGATTTGCTGACATCAGAGTTGTTGTTGTCTCTGTTGTTGCTCTGTTGCTGTTTTCCTCCTCTACGAGAGAATGAGGCATCAGTGACATGGCAGAAAAACAGTGTAAGATTTGGAGTTAGAGGTCCTGGGTTCAAATTTCAGTTCTTCCACTTACCACCTGGGTCACCAGGCAAGGCACTTTATCACTCTGTGTTTTAGTTTTCACAAAAAGAAATAACATACTGACAGCTCAGTTATAGCAAGTCTGAGGAAATTAGATTAAGAAAATCCCTTTGAAAACTAAAAAATGCTCTGAAAACATGAGCAGTTATTGCTGCTGCTGACACCTTGCATATCTGCTCTGCATCAGATATGAACACAAACTAATGACAACTAGAGGGTTGGGGTGACATATAGAAAAGCACTAATGGGCCCAGCAATGTGGCTCAAGCCTGTAATCCCAGCCTGGGTGACGGAGTGAGACTCCTTCTCAAAAAAAAAAAAAAAAAGTGCAAATAGGAATAACCACAAATTAAATCATCTTAGATGTGAAAACTACTACTCTAGATAGTGTTTCTCAGTACTGATAAATATAGGAGAAATTGTAACAATAGCAAGAAAAATAATGTGTTTTCAGTATAAAACTAACAAGCAGTTGCAAAACTAGAAAACACAATCTACAAGTACAAATAGTGGCAAAAGATTCTCTCCCAGCCCTTCCTCTGTAAGAATGCACAAGTTTTGTAGATTTCATTTAGTCCTACAGTGTCAAACATTATTTCTAAATTGATCACTCACAACTTCCCATCCTGAATCCCAGGGCCCATTTCAATGAATGCTGATCACTTCCCTTTAAATGGCATAAGGACGCCTCAACACAACACATCCAGAACTAAATCAATCAAACCCTCATTCACACTCCATTTCTTCTATTCCTTATTTCCGCTAATTGCAATAGCATCATCTTAGCCACTCAGAAAGGGCTTTTTTCCTTGATTTAAGCATCTCTTGCCTCCAATCCATCCTAGTCTTCAACTAAAGAAAAGCATTGTTGTCATATAGTCCCAGCCACAATTCTAAAAAGAAATTGGAAGAAAAATGCTTGCCAATTGCTTACAGACTAAAAGTCCAAGCCTGCAAGTTCCTTCACAAAGGGAAATTGATCTGCCTTTTCTGCCTTACTTCCCACTGTATTTCTTTATTGCACAAATAAATGTTGGCCCTGGTGTCCTTCATGCCTTCTGCACCCCATGTCTTTATTCACTCTATTCCCTACTCTAGGAATTTCATCACTTTATCTCCAGATGCCAAAATTCCACATGGTCTGCCTTCTATCACTTAGAAAAGTGATCCCCTTCCTCCTCCTGGCTCCCCCAACAGGTTGCTTGTACCTGCCTCAAGGCTTCTGTTAGACTCTGTCGTCCCACAGCAATCTGTCTACTTCTATGCATTCAGTGTCTCTGCTTCAATTTGGGCTTATTGGCACTGTGAGGTTAAAAAAACAGTAACTACCTCCTAAGATTGTTGAGGAAGTAATGAGATAATACATGTAAAATGCTTAGAAAAATATCTGGAACACATTAAGCACCTAATAAAAGTTAGCAATAGCCATTACTATTATTTTATTGTAATACATTCCCAATTTCAATATGGTATATTCTTGTCAGTATCGCTATATAACACACAGCCAAGAACCTAGCACACACTAAATATGGAAAAAGATCTTTACAAGTTGTTATTAGATAGATATGTATCGTAACAACTTTACAGTCGGGAGATTCTCACTTCTAAAGTCAGAAATTACATAGTCTCACTATGAAATATAAGTGGAAAAAGTGTTTTAGGAAATCATCCTATGTCACATGACATACATTAAATGTAACACTAACCTTGCATTTATACTCATGTGCCTGGCTTTATGGCATCAGTTTTAGATTGGAAAAATACACTGAGTCTTTAGTTTAAGTTAGTAAGGCTGATCTTATCATAGCAGTATAAATGCAAGAAAAGTTTTATTCCTTGGAGTGAGTCGTGGATGGCTGTTTGTCAGATACGGCATTTTCTCAACCTCATTCTATCACAGTTTAGGATAAACAAGGGGGATTCAAATAGAGCTTGTCTACCTCCAGTTTGTGGCGTTTCCATGACAAGCCTTTATGTTATGTACCTACTTTCATTCGGGAAACGGTCTTATTGATCTCTTCCACATCCCCGACAGTGACAATGTTGGACTTCAGCATCTGGTCGATCAATACCAGCCAGTCGGCTAGTTCTGTTATAGTTTTATCAAGATCAGCAGGAACTGAAATTTCTGAAGTACGATGAGACTGAACAGGAATATCTGACGCAGATGATACTAGCACCACCTTTTGGACACTAGGATGAGCTGAAATAAAAATGTAACAAAACAGAAATACAACATTTTTATTATGGTGGTATAATGGTAACATGGGAATGTATACTTAAGTAAAATTTGGTTCAAGTAAAAAAAATACAAGAGGTTTTTATTTTTCATACTGAAATGGCGATAATATTGCCTATAATTCCATATCTTTGGTAGCCATCAAGCCAACTAACCAGATAGTCTCACAACATTCTAGAACAGGAAAAACTTAAAAGGTAATCAACTTTGACACTGAGAAAAACTGAAATAAAAAATATACCAACTGTGAAAAAATTAGGAGTATTATTTTGTCAAATGTTTTTGTCTTATGTATAAATTTATTCATATTTCATTTTTCATTTAACTTTATAGCATAAGCATATTTTATTCTTAATAAACATCACTGTGAGTACCTATGTAATACCTATACATATATTCACTAACTTTTATTTAACCTTTTTGCTTCAGCTAGATATTTAGATTTCTCCTGAAATTTTATTTTAAAAAGAGCTTGCAGTGAGTATCTTTTTGTGAAAAGTATTTTGCTCATTCCAGATTACCACCCCAGTATAGATTTCCCAAAGTAGAATTACTGAGTCAGAAACTATGAAAAAATGTATGTTTTTAATACTCACTGCCAAATTGCTTTCCTTAAGAATTGGAAATTTAGATTTCCAACAGCAGCGTGTGGAACTGAGACATTTCATGCATCCAAGCCAACAATATTCAATCTCAGTGGATAAACAAGCTTTTACCACTGCTTTCATTTAATGGTTTTTTATTACTAGTAAGGTTAAAGATTTGTCATGCTTTGTTAACCAAATATGATATAATTTATAACTGTCTTTTTATTTGCTTCCTTATCAGTCTCGATGAACTCTTGTCATACATATCGTTGAAAGCAATATTTCTACCTGAGGACTGTTAAAGTGTGTGTGGTGTGTGTGTGTGTGTGTGTGTGTGTGTGTGTGTGTGTGTGTGTGTGTCTTTTTAACATATAAATGTTAACAAGCTTGAAGTCACCAAACCCATAAATCTTTCTTAGAAGACTGTTTTCCTAAGACTTTTAAAATTAGAAATTCTAGTCTTCTCCAAAAATTTGATAAATGTGTTATTTCCCTCTGATTTTTCTGTTTGTTTGTTTGGTTGTTTGGTTGGTTGATTTTGTTTTGTAATGGGTAGAAGTTGATTGTTGTTTTTGCTTGTTTGTCTTGATGCAATAGGTAGTTGAATCAATGATTAAATCTATCTGGAACCTACCTTAGCACATGATATATTAGATGAGGCTTAAAACTTTTCCAAGAAATATAATCAATCTGTAAATTCAGTACAATTTTACAGTTTCAGAGTAACAACCAAATCATCTCTGGTTGTAAAATTAATATAGAAAAGAATCAACCAATATTTTATTTTTGGTAGAGGGATATGCTCAGACATTTAGTTATATTATTTAGTTAATAATAATTAATTAAGTGCATTATGGACAGAGGCATTCAAAAAGACCAACAAAAGTGGAAGGAAAAAGGACATAGGTGACAGAGAACTCTGACCTTAGCAGAGAATGAAATACAGATTAGTGAGGAAGAATTTACTGTTCAATAAAGTGGTCCCCCACTGGTGGAGTGGGAAAATGACAGGACAGATTTTAACCTCTCATGCACCATAGGAAAATTAACTCTTGGTGGATTAAGAACGTAGATATGAAAACCAAAATTGTTAGTGAAAAACACAGAAGAACATTTTTATGACTTCAAAGCATCAAAGGAGCTCTAAAACAAAACACAAAAAAGGGAAACTATTAATAAACCATTGATGTTTAACAATTCTGAAGGAAGCACCATAAGTAAGGATTTTAAGAGTCTGAAATATTAAGAAAGATGACATTGGCAATGCACATTCTAGACAAAGAACTGGCCACCAATTTTTTTTTTAATTTCAGAAAAGTCTACAGACAATCCACAAAAGAACAAGAAATGAAAAGATATGAAAAAAATGTTCAACCTCACCAATAATTGAGAATATACAAATTTAAATAAAAATCCTACATTCGCAGGTCACAAGTCAGCAAAGCAACAGCCAGGAAGCTCTGGGTTCCTAGAGACCTTTCCACGGGTTTTGGCTACCTAAACCATTACTAACATCATAACAAGTTATTTGCCCTCCCACACTCATTCTCTAAGTGTGTTGTGTTTACCCAAGGCAACATAACATGTGATATCACAAGAGACCAAATGCAGAAGTGGATATGAGAATCCAAGTGTCCTACAAAGCTAGACATTTAAGAGATTTTGAACAATATAAAGATATACCACTTTTTGAAGTATTTGTTTATTTTGGAAAATAGAGTTTCTTTTGTTAATATGTTGGAAATATAATAATGGATTTATTATTGTTATTTTTAAATGAATTAATAAAGTATTTTTAAATTTCTTTCTAGTTAGGTAAATAATGATAGATATAACACACTAACAAAACTTTTCTCTTTGGGGTCCTCAACATTTTTTTTTTTTTTTTTGAGTTGGAGTCTAACTCTGTCACCCAGGCTGGAGTGCAGTAGCACACTCACGGCCACCCCAGTGTCAATCTGCTGGTCTCCAGCAATCCTTCTGCCTCAGTCTTCCAAGTAGCCAGAACTATAAGCGTGCGCTACCATGCCCGGCTAATTTTTGGACTTACTGTAGAGATGAGGTCTCACCAAATTACTTGGGCTGGTCTTGAACATGCAGGTTCAGGGAATCCACTCACCTTGGCCTTCCAAAGTAATGGGACGACAGGCTGAGCCACCGAGCCCAGCTCTCAACAATTTTTAAAAGTGAGAACAAAATGTTGGGGAGCTGGTAACAGTGTAGAACAATGAGAACTCTCACACACAGCCAGTGGGAGTGTGAACTGGAACAAGTTGTCTAGACAGCACTCTCACAGCAGCTGGTGAAGGTGAAGGCAGCCGTATTCCACAACCCAGTGATTCCACCACTAGATATATGCCCCCAAAGAATACTTCACACATCATTCTACCCAATCTTCACTGTAGCTTGCTTTATAGTTGGAGTTGGTTGTTTCAATTCATCAAATACCTATTAAGAACCTATTATGTGCAAGACATTGTTCTAGATGCTGCAGGCATGGGAGTGTACAAGCCACATCCCTGCCCTCATGAGGCTTGCATTCCAGTGAGGAAGATGGATATGTTATGACATAAAACCAGTGCAAGAAGACAGAGAGAGACAGGATGTATTTGAGACAAGATGGCAAGCAAGCCTATCCAGTAAAGAGATATCTGAAGAACTGAATAAAGTAAGTATTTGAAACATGCAACTATCATGGGGAAGAAAAGAAGAAGGAACAATAAGCATAAAGACCAGAAACAAAAGTGTTTGAAACATCAAGAAGACGCGTGTGTTTGAAGCAGAACGAACAAAGGGAAAAGCAGTAAGAAGTGTGATGAGAGAGACAGACAGTAGTCAGATCATGCATGGTCTTCTGGACCACAGTAAGACCTTGAAACTCACTTATGTGTGTGGAACTGATTAAAAGACAGTGAGCAAGGAAGTAATACGATCAAACTTATGCTTAAAGCATCGCTCTAGCTGCTATCAGAATAGATCGTCGAGGGGAGTCAGGATGATGAGTTAGGTCAATACTCCGATAATCTAAATGAAAGATGAGTATGTTAAAACCAAAGACGTGGTTGGGATGGGGAACAGGACCGACACAATATTCTGATGGACTAACTATGAAACCCAGAGAAAAGAGGAGGCTGGTTCCAAGTTCACTTGCCTACAAACTGACTGAATCATCTAAAGTTAAAACAATGTCTACATCATGGGACTGGTAAGCATAGCTAGAGAAAAGAATCCTGAAGACTGTATACATCCATGTAATGGAATGTTATATATAAGTTTAAATGAATAAACTAGAGTGACATGCATCAAGATGTATGGCAATGAGATTGATCCAGCAGAAAGGAGAGAAAGAGTAAAAGTAAAAAAGCTAGGAGAAGATGTTATTCAAAGCAGAAGTGGAGAAGTTATTCTTAGCAAGGAAAAGAGATCCCTTCCTCTGAATAGGAAGGAAGAATGTAGAGTATATGGGTACAGAGGCAGGTAGCTTGATGGATTCTCTGATGGGAAAATGAAGATAATCTTATCTGACAAAAGGTTTTCCTTTATACCTGCACGCGTATGTTTACCGCAGCATTGTTCACAATAGGAAGAACCTGGAAGCAACCATGCTGCCCATCAAAAGAGAACTGGATTAAAAAATGTGGTACATATACATGATGGAATACTATGCAGCCATAAAAAAGAACAAAATCATGAATTTCGCAGCAACCTGGATGGAACTAGAGTCTATAATACTGAGTGACCTCTCACAGAAACAAAGATCCTAGTATCACATGTTGTCACTCATATAATGGACCTTGAACATCCAATGTAATACTATAAGAAAATGACTGACAGTAGTGGGAAACTATGGCGGGGGGGGAGATGGGATTAATGGTAGCAAATATCTGTCTGGGGACGGGGAAACACCTCTTATCAACAGGGTGCCTGAATGAAACGTATTTGTATACCTAACCCTTAACTGTACCCCACAACATCATAATAAAAAATATTGATTAAAAAAAATTAGATAAGGGACCAGACCAGTGGCTTATGGCTGCAATCCCAGCACTTTGGGAGGCCGAGGTGAATAGATTGCTTCCCATGGGTTCGAGACCAGACCAGGCAACTTGGCAAGATCTCGTCTCTGCAACAAATCAAAAATTAGTCTGGCATACTAGCGTGCACCTGTAGTTCCAGCTACTTGGAAGGTTGAGGCAGAAGGATTGTCAGAGCCCAGCAGGTCAATGCTGGGGTGGCCATGAGTGTGCCACTGCACTTCAGCCCGGGCAACAAAGTTAAGACTCCAACTCAAATAAATAAATAAATAAATAAATAAAAGATGAAGTCATTAGCTGAGAGGTAGCAAGGAGTACTCAGAAGAAAGGACTGTAAGATTAGTTAGTGCTGAGTGTATACTTATAGCTTTTAAGTGAGTATATAGCCAGCAAGAAAAACTGGCACGGATGAAGTTCAAAAACATTACGCTAAGTGAAAGAGGCAATTGTATGATTCCATTTATATGAAATATCCAGAATAGATCAATCCATAGAGATAGAACACAGATTGGTGGTTGCCAGGGGCTGGGAGTGGGCGGGAATGGGAGAAACTGCTTAATGAGTAAGACGTTTTACTTTGGAGTCATAAAAATATTTTAGAACTACATAGAAGTAGTGGTTGCACAATATTGTGAGTGTACTAAATGCCACTGAATTGTTCACTTTAAAGTGGTTGATTTTTTAAAATAAGAAGGAACTAAATTAAAACATCGTATAGTAGAGGGACACGCTGAGATTAGCTTCAGGACTCAGACCTGTCCCAGGAATGAATAACTTAAGAATCACCTGCCCACCTAATGGAAGGTACAGTTTGCTCTTAGTTTTTTATACATCTAAATATGTATTTACATTTTCTCTGCTCCTTTGCTTTAATGATGTTTTTAAAAGTAGGACAATCCATTCCTACTTTATAAAATGTATCAAGTTTTTTATCTATGATTATGAAGTTTAACTTACATTTGCAAGGAAGCAGTGTCAAATGTCAATTGATATGTTTTGGATATTAATCAAGAGAGCTGACCAGGACCCAGGTATTTCTTGTGCAAATTACTGGGAAATACAAGTAATATAGAACACAAACTTGGCCCTCAAAAAAAATGAAAGAAAAACTCTTGTCTCTCATCATTTTTTTTTTCTGACTCCTGAGAAGGAGGAAAAGAAGAAGAGAAATAAAAGGACTGAAGAGAAAGAGGTGGAAAGGGTAAAGGTGGAGGGGGAGATAGGAAGGAGCGGAGGGAGGAAGGAAAAGAGATGAGGAGGAGAAAGAATTAGCAGCAGCTGGCACAGAGTAAATGAATAGTAAGGATTAATCACATTTGGGGTTTTGCCAGGTGGCTTAACAGAGGAAGGGTAAGGCAAAATGGCTCACAAGGCAGCAGTGACTATAATATAGGTACAGTAGCCTGTGATCTAATCTGTAGAAGGAAAGAAACAATGAGGAAACACTCTTCTTTCTCCACATCCAAGTGAGTAGTATTTGTCAATAAATAGCTTTTCTGGGATGCAAATCCTCATCTCCCAACTGCTTACAAGGATATCTAAACCTTTTATGCTCTGTCATGATCAGGGTCTAACTGCACACGCCAACCAAGCACATGTTAACATCGCGGGCTATACCCAATTTCCTGAAACGCTACACAGACCCAGAAACTAGTTCCAATTTTCCCACCTAGCCTCTTCCCTTCCCTTCAGAAGGTCCTGTGGATGCCACTCTAGTCCAGGAAAAGGTCAGTCTTTTCTACTATGAAAGCAAATGCCCCACCCACATGGGGCAGCCAGTTATGTCTTGGTCTTGGTCAGGGGAGGAGGTTTTTGGTTTTGTTTTTGTTTTGAGATAGTGTCTTGCTCTGTCACCCATGCTGGAGTGCAGTGGTATGAACTTGATTCACTGCAGACTTAAACCCTTGGGCTTGAGAGATTCTTTCATCTCAGCCTCTTGAGTAGCTGGGATTAGAGGCACATGGCACGATATCTGGCTAATTTTTAAAAATTTTTTGTACAGATAATGTCTCACTATGTTTCCCAAGCTAGTCTCAAACTCCTAGCCTAAAGCAATCCTCCTGCCTCAGTCTCCCAACGTGCTGGGATTGCAGGTTCAAGCCACAACTCCCAGCCTCTATCTTGGATTTTTCAAAAGACATTCTTTTAAAATAATAGAAAGTAGAATAATAAATAAAATGGCATGATGTCTTTAAATACATTTTTCTAATTCATAAATGATGCTCATATCATAAAATTTTGCTATATTGACTTTTTTAAACTTTGATAAGAGATAAAAATGTATCTTACCAGCAATCCTTGTCTGTGAAACAGAACAGGGGCTCTGGGATGCGTTCCTTCAGGGAGATGGGCACTTCTCTGCATATCTACAGCACCAAGAAGAGAAGAATATTCCATAAATAAAGATGAGTATATTTTCGAAAGAGAAGGTGTTATTCTGCATGTTAGCTCTACCGCTTTTCTTCCTCCCAAAACCTAAGTTTTTGTCTCCACCTTCACTCTCCACTGCAAACTAGTATTGCTATCAGAAACCCCGATGAGTCTTTAGTGGTCCAGCCCTTCTGCACCATACAATGATGTCCACTTCCCTTCTCTCGAATTCTGTTAATACTCTAATTCTCACTTTCCTCCTCCCTCTCTGACTGACCCTTTTAAGTTTACTTCACCAGCTTAATTTCTTCTACCCATCTATCAAATACCAATATTCTACAGAGTAGGTTTTTGGGTCTTCTTACCCTTCACCCTTGACTCTGAGTCCTGATTTCCAGTGGTTTCATGTACTAAATGGAGTTTGGAGGGACTGAAGACATCCCCCAAACATACCTTTAGTCCAGCTAACTCTGTCAACTAGATATTCAAACATGCCCAAATCTGAATTTATCGTATCTGCTTTACCTGACACTCCTTTATAAACTCTTCTAAAGGTCCTAACTAATCTTTCTTTACCAATTCTTAGGATCACTCCATCCACTTCTATACTGCAGCTACCTGAATCTTTCAAAAATAAAACTTTCCTACGCCTAAAACACAACAAAGTGATGAATGGTTCTCAAGATGGAGCTCAAATTCCTTATGATGTATAGTGAGGCCTCTGAGATCTGGTCTCTGAGAACACCACTCAGCTTTCCACTCTTGGCTGAGCTACTTCCAGGACCTATATGCACTGTGCTCATTCCCTGTCTTCTCTAGACCCTTTCAGTTGCTACTGCTTCTCCCTACAATGACCTTTCTATCATTCTTTACCTGACCAACACTTACTCACCCTTCATAAATGAGCCTGGATATGATCACTTCCACAAAACCTTCCGCAATTACCCCTCAAAGCCAGGCCAGTGTCCCACCTCTAAGTACCATGGCTACCTGTATACTACAATTGCTTGTCTACTGGCCTCACTCATGATAAGCTCTTTGGGTAGAAGCAGGGCCACACTCTTTGCCTCATTCTCAGTTCTTAAAATGATACCTGGCATAAAGTGGGAATCCAAAAAAATTTGAGTGAATGAATGAATTTATGCATCAATGAAATATACCGGATTAGTATTTCCCAAAGCATGTTTGTTATACAATCACATTGCAATGCCTGGTCTTAGACATTCATAATTCACCCAAGAGAGTTATATTAAAATCTGCATGAAATCCTGCAATAACAGGAGCTTTAAATTTGTCTAACACAGTAGGCCCATAGTGACCACCATGTCCTTTTCTATATAATACCCACTGACATCCTTTGTGTTGAATAAATACATGTGCTCTGATTGTCCCCTGGCAAGTTACAGGTGGCCAATACATCTGGAAAGGAATGTAGGGAGAGAGTAGCAGCAGATAATGTGGGAGAGAGAACAAGAAGCCAGACCTTGAGGGGATTTACAGGTCACAGAAAGTACTTTGGCTTTCACTCCACGTGAGATAGAAAACCAGCAATGGACTTTGCTCAGAGGAGTTACTTGATATGAAATATGTTTTAACAAGTTATTTTGGCAGCTTTGTCTAGAAGAGACAAAGGGCAAGAGAGAAAGCAGGGCAGACCAATGGAGAGGTGCCTACAGTAATCAAGACAAGACATGATGGTGGCTTAAAACATATTGGTAGCAATGGGGGTCACGAGAAGCAATCAAATTATGATACTTTTTCATCTAGGAAGAGTTTAAAGAATTCTTTTTTTTTTTTTTTTTTTTTTGAGTTGGAGTCTCACTCTGTCGCCCAGACTGGAGTGCAGTGGCCGCTCCTGACCACCGCAGCCTCAACCTGCTGGGCTCTGGCGATCCTTCCTCCTCAGCCTTCAAAGTAGCCGGAATTGCAGGCATGTGCTACCACGCCCGGCTGATTTTTTGATTTATTGTAGAGATGAGGTCTCACTGCCCAGGCGGGTCTCGAACCCGCGGGCTCAGGCAATCCACTCACCTCAGCCTCCCAAAGGCCGCGGGATTACAGGCTGAGCCACCGAGCCAGGCTAAAAAATTCTACAGGAAATACCCAAGTGCCATCTGGTATCTACAGTTGTCACACTTTTGCTACATTTCCCTTATCATATGTAGTCATCTGGCCATCCATTACACTCACCATCAGGTAGTTATGTTTTTTGAAGGAGAAGCTGATGATGGTGACTCCGAGGTATAGTTTTTTATTCTGCAGGGTTTTTTGTTTCAGTTTTAGATATAATTTAATATACTGTAAGATTGACTCCAAGGTTTCTGAGCAAAGCAATAATAAGGATGTAATTGCCATGAACTGAGGTGGTCTCCCACCTCATTAAGACACAAGGGAGAGAGGGACATCAGGAGCTTAATTGTGTATGTTAGTTTGAGATGTCTGTCAGACATCCAAGTAGAAACATTGAACAGGTAGTTGTCTATGCAAATCTGAAGCATGGAGAGGTCTAGGCAAGAGAAACAGATGTGTGAGTAACAGTGACTTATAAAGGCAGTCATTCTCAATCAGAGAGGTAAGATCAATAAAGCACCCACATCATTAAATTGAAGGTAATGGCTAACATTTTAAAGAGGATTAAAAAGAGAGAAAATAACCTCATACTCCAATGTGGTATGTACCAGGTCAAACTAAAAGGAAATGTATGACTTCATTTTTACTTATCTGTTTCAACTGCAAAAAGGAATGGTATGAGGGAAAGATATCTTAGTCCTATTTATAGTCACATGCCACTACATTCCACTGGAACCTAGTAAATGTATAATAAATACGATTATTAAAAATAAACATAACATGTATGATAAGGCATGTATGACAACAGGAAGCTATTTTAAGGTCTTTATACTCAAAATATAACCACTAGCATTTCACCTAATTCCAACATATGTTCATTATTTAGTGTAGTTTGTAATGTATCAATCCCCCAGGTGAAAAAATTTTATGTAAAATAAAAAAGTATGCTCTGAGAATATATACTTTTATCTATGACAGATGAAAAAATTATAACTATTAGTAAAATGTGTCCATATTTGGATACATTTAAAAGCAAAACAGTTATAAATTCCAGTTATTTGATAATAAAATCAACAAATGTGAGACATGTGTTACAGCAACCTTATATGCACACCTTATTCCACGTTGTATTTACAGTTCTTAAGTTTTCTGAAATTTTATCTCTTTCATGTAAACTGAGACTTTTATCTGAAAGCACTTCCAGTTCAGTTCTATTCAGCCATTGGAGTTTTTCAGCTTGAAGTTCCATCTCTCGGGCTAAGTCCTAAAGGAGTCACATGACAGGTGTGGTTAGAAGATTGTCAGACAAGGGAAAGTCCAACAACTGTATTGGGAATCTTTATGGAAAATATTCTTATAAATATGCATTTTTAATTTCTTGAATAAAAAATTAACTTGTAAGAAGCTTAAACTCACGTTAACAAATTATAGCCAACTGAGGAATGAACACACACCTTCAGTGTGCATTTATGTGCTCGTGTACACAAACACACTCTCTGGCATTCTCTCCTTTCTTAATGAGATCATATAATATTATATTTATTTTGCTAATTTAACATTCTGTTCTTATCTCCACCTTGCTAACCACCCTAATATACTGTCCCACCTTTTCTAACTCTCCTCAAATTGCTTTAAAAAGGAACATTCCATGAAAACTATTGACATTTTTAGATAAAGCAGGAACAAGTGTGTTAGATAGTATCACATTTGAAAAGAAAACGTAATAAGTGTTTGTCACATAATATTTTCCATCATTATTAGCCTTTTCTTTAACAAAATGCCTTAATCATACTCCTTTATAGACAAAAATCTCTTATCAAATTAGTAGGGAGCCTTCACGTGTACTTTTACACTTGTGAACATAAGTGTATACACAAAATAAAAATGTGAGTATAGTATGCTTATTCTGCAAAAAGTATTTTTCTTTTTAACGCAAAAAATATAGATATTTATGGATAAAAAATGTTAAATATTTGGATGTTACATATCTATATATCTTTATGTATTTTTATAGATTATATACCTACTCAACTATAAACAATTCTTGTTGGTTGCATATCAACAAAGAAAACTTGATTAACACAACCATGACATTAAACGTATAGTAAGTTGCAAGAAGTTATTCAGGTTCAAGTTTCTCAAGTTCACCACATTTACCAAAAACTTCTTATTCTTTTCTTATTCCTAAGCATAATGTTCAGGCATTATGAGGCATTGATGAAAACAGAGACAGATAAACCAGCTTACTTTTAATTCTTGCAGATTTTCTTGCAGCTCAGCAGTCGATCTGTTCTGCACAGCATTCTCGGCCTTTGTTAACCAACGGATAAGCTCATCTAGCCTACTTTTATACTCCATTACCTGCTTACTTTCTCCTTTTAGCCTAAAAGAATATATTATTGAAAAATATTGAAACAAATTACCCAATTAAGTGGAAAATTATATATTTGTTTTGGATATCCAGACTACATATTTTCCTAAATAAATAGTCCCTAATAATTATTTTAATATAACTTTAAGGGAATCTATAGTAATATATACATTCTGCAATATTAAAGATTGTTTAATAATGATAGAATAAGAAGAATTTTTCCTTAATTAAATTCAAAATCATTGAAACTAAAGAATATTATCTTCCCTTGTCATAAAATCTATATAGAAATTTAATACAAAAGACTTTTTAAAGCTAGACACCACTGTGCAACATAATGGAATTTTTTTGAAAACACAAAAAATGTCTTTATCTAAAATAATAAGGAAAAACACATAATTCTCTTTGAGTATTTCATAGACATAGGAAGGCATCATTATATGAGATGTTATCACATTAGGTGGCAACTATTACTTTACTTTATTCATAGAACAGAAAGAATAAGAGCAAGGCAAGGTACTGAGAAAGGGAAAATCTTATAAGTATTAGGAAAGATAGGAAACATGTAAATTTGGTTAATTCATTAAACAATTATTTTATTTGAATGTAGCACCAAGTTATAAAAAGATGTTTGAAAAAGACAAAGCATAAGTTTGATGTGATGCAAAAAAAGAGTCAAATGAATATAAATTAGGAACTGCCTTAATTAGATCTTTAAAATGCTATAAGAATAACTTTTATAAGAATATAAACCATCTGTCAGAAGATGGGAATAGTATTCAAATTCATACAACAAATAAAATTATGTATTTTTAAAAAAGGGTTCGAAAGCTATTAAAAGCTTTGTGGTATCATTATATATAGCTGCTATAGTTAACTGCTAGTTAAAACACTGGATGAAATTTTTTAATGAATCACATTGTATCATGCCTAATAAGAATTTGTGTTTTTTATGACTGTGACGTTTTATTTTTAATCACAAAGGGCCTAACATAATGGTGCAAGATATGTAGTAAAATATTAAATAATATGTATTTGTTTAATGAGGAATGAATAATATTTGAAGGTGAGTATTATCATGTTTAGAAAATGAATGAAAGTCTTACTAAATCACAATTTTTAAGTATTCATCAGGAGCGAATGCTGCTTCATGATTAAAAATAAGTAAATGAAGCAACAGTACTAATTATTAAGAATACCAATACTAAAACAGGTAATCTACCCTCCGTGTTGAAAAGTTATTTAACTTAAATAACTTTGGAAGTGTTCCCAAACACTCTTACAGTCCTTTTGTGTTCAAAATATGTTGAAATTTAAATGTTTCGTAATCATGACTAATTTAGTACACTGAAAATAGAAATATGAAGGAAACTAACATTATCAAGTGATTTCAATAAGACATATTTGCGTCACCTAAAACTGTCATCCACCAACTGATTAAATATAATCTACATTTTAAATGTTACTCCTAAAAGTAAAAACAAATTACAAATTCATGTTCAAATAGTAGATAACAGTTGTTCATTAAGGAATACTACCCTAAGTTGCTAAATTGTATAAATATTTCACTACGAGCACTCAATATAAAAACAAATGGACCTATGTGATAAAACTAGATGACTCTGACAAAAGTGAACATATAAGCTCTTCCAAGGAGGCCCCACTTTAAGATAGATTACAGATCTGAAGAGAGGTTTAGCATGAATTTATTAAGACAAATATCGCTTTAGTCAAAATATATGTTGAGGAAGAGATTCATTACTCTTTTCACTTTCAAAAAAATGAGTAAAATACATATTACTCATTACAGTTCCTTGTTAATTTCAGGAGTTATAATTAGCACATTCCATGGAGATCCATTTGAAAAATTTTAGGGGAATTTCTGCATGTATTTTTAATACCCTGCCAGCAGATACATGTTTTTCCTTAATAGGGCCTAGGAGATAGATCATTTTAAGCTAGAAGAACCTGCCCCGCTAACTGATTAGTTTGACATATAAGATCCTATGGGACCTCAGCTTCCAATCCTGCCCCTGGTCCCCTGATTCCTCCTCTCCATCTTTTCCTTTGCAGATTTCTCACATGGCCATGCTACTCATACCTCCCACTTTTTTGTGTTTCATTTCTTTTCTTTAGCGGATTCCTCCAGAAAGGATATATGAGAAATTGTTATAAATGCTTCAAAATAGGCCAGGTGCGGTGGCTCATGCCTGTAATCCCAACAGAGGTGAGAAGCAGAGGTGAGAAGATTGCCTGAGCCCAGGGGTGTGACACCAGCCTGGGCACCTTGGCAAGACCTCATCCCTACAATAAATAATTAGCCAGGTGTGGTGGCACAAGCCTGAGGTCCCAGCTAATTGGAAGGCTAATGCAGAAAGAACGCCTGAGTCCAGCATGTCAAGGCTGCAGCAGCTAGCCGTGATCGTGCCACTACACTCCAGCCTGGGTGACAGAGTGAGACTCTGACTCAAAATAAATAAATAAATAAATAAATAAAATGAAAGATTCAAAATTCAGCTTCAGTAGCCCTCTTCTATAATTCCTAAATTCCACAGCCCATCATACCTGCCTGTGTGACAACACTATACCTTTCTCAATAATCTTTTCTATAATCATTTCCTTCTTCATCTCAGAGTTCTTTAGTCATACTTGTAAACCCAGTGCTACACACAAAGTTCAATAAATACCAATGAAATCAATTAATCATTCACTGGCAAATTCAGTAATAATATGCTTGAGGGATAAGTTCTAGGTTAATCTACCTGCGTGACAAACAAATATGTTGTGCTTCCTATGAAGAGTCAAGCATACATCCTTTACAAACATTGTCTCATTTAGCCCTCATGACAACCCTCTGAGGTGACAGCATAGTACTCATTTACAAAAGGGGGATCTTTGGCCAGAGAGCTCTGAGGTCTTACCAAGTTTGTACAGTACAATATTTGAGAGCATAAGACAGCAAGCGCTATCACTTATTGTCTGTGCGGTCTTAGACAAGTGACTTACCTTCTCCTCACTGAGCTTCAGTTTCCAAAGCTGTACAAGCCCTAACAGTACCCTAAGGAAGCGAGTTGTGAGGGTTAAATGAGGCAATGTGGGCAAGGTGCCAAATACTCTCTGTCACATGGTAAACTCTCAATCAAAGCATACAAATTATTATTGTCTCTTACCAAAACACACAGTAACAGATTTTTTAAAACAGCAAGCATAGGTCACATCATATGTGAATATTTTATGTGATGTTATACTGGACTTGATAAAGTATTAGATTGGTCTTTAATGAAGTAATAGCTTATCACTGAAATAATATCTCATCTACAGAGTTAGAATGAGCAGGAAAAAAAATCTTAGACTTTTTAACTCAAAACTACCATAAAAAATAAATAAAAAGATATCATTAATGAGATGGAATATATTAAGCTAAATAGAAATTGTTCATTACATCTGGACTAGCTCAGAAAGTAACTTCAAATAATTTTAAATATATAAAAATGTATAATGTATTATATTCCCTGATAATCAAACATATTTATAACCAGAAGATGTACTAATAAAATCTGGGGCATTGCAGCATAATCTGGCATAAAAATTAACCATAATATATTTATTATATCACAAAGATGAAGAACTTTATTACTTGCATAGAGCACACCCTTTGACACTAAGAGCAACATAGTGACAGGGATTACCAGTGTAGGCTCAGTCAGGAAATAAGCAAGAAAAAGGCTTGACCTTGAACCCAGAACCTCAGACCAGAAGTCCTATGTACCCTTTCAACTACTTTAAGATCCCACCATAATCACCATGTCATAATAAACAGTCAGAATAAAAGGAATAAAGGTGTTTTATAGATATATGGTACCTGAGTAGAAAAGTGAGACTTTATGGACAGCCTAAAAATACAGTAAGAGGGAGTGTGGGCAGTGGAAGTCTCAAATGCCAATAAAATTCCTATTTTAATATCAGACAATAAAAGAACTTTGAGCTCATTGAACTGTATCTCTTTTTTTTGAACTGTATCTTAAAAGATTCTTCCCAGTATATCTTCAGGCTTGTACGCACAACCAATAATATTAAATCACCTTGGCTGCCTATCCTTCACTTCTGCAACAATCGCACTCCAGCGTTGGTTTAACCCTGCCAGCTTGTCTTTTAAGAAGCTTCCATCTGCAGGAGAGAGTTTCTGTACAATCCCGTCCCCAGTTCGGTTTAGAGCCATGAAACTGGGCTGGTGACTACTGATGCCCTCCTCAAGTTCCTGTAACAGAACACAACCCAACATTTATTCCATTCCTAAATTAAACTGTTCTGGTACATGAATCCACCCAAGTACTGTGGCATCAATTTAAGTGTTAGAGAAACAAATTTCTGAAATGATATTTTATGTTCATGAAAAGGACATTTTAAAACAATTTAATTACATTGCAGTGAACACGCTAAGTGAAATGTATTTTGAAATCTAACCCACCCTCATAAACATCATCAGGCAAAATAGTGAAATACACCAGCCTAATAACATACAACAAATAACAGCATAAAGCACAAGCATCAATCATGCTTGATCAAAAATGAGTTGCTCATCTTCTTCCAAACAAGTGTTTAAGAACATCTCTTTAAAAAAAAAAAAAAAAAAAAAAAAAACTATATATCCCCATATGCCCTATGTCCTACCATACATAAGTAAACCTCAGTGTACATTTTATAGAAACATTGCTTTCTGGTCTTTAAATTTTTAAGTAATAGATTAAAGAGATATTTTAAAGTCAAATGTAAACACTTATCTATAACTCCAAAATAAGAAAAATGCTCATAAGAAAAAATATCTCAGAGCTATCCTAGTGTGTTAAATTAAAAAAATAAGGAAGAAAAAGAAAAGCATTCTCTTTAAATCCTCATGACTATTTTGCATAAAATACATTTTAAAAATTTAATAAAAGAGAAAATATTTTTAACAATGGTAAAACTGAAATTGTGTTTTCTTTCTGCCATTATTTTTAAATATCTATTGTTATCAGCAGAACTGACTTAGCTATTGTGTTATATTTTTCCAAAACTGAATTAGACTTACATGAGCAGTTGCCCTGTGTAGCTCAAGAATAATTTACTTTTATGCTAATTATCAATGACACAAAGAAAAGTGAGGCATTTAAGAGTTTAAGTACAGAAAACAGAAGTGGGGTATATATATATACGAAGTCTGATTATTATGTTTATGAACTCATCCTGGAAAAAGTGCTACGTACCTCATTGCTGAATGTTACCACAATCACCTTCAAAGTACCCCCCTTGGGAATCTATGCACCAATGCCAGTACCTAGTCCACCCATCAAAGCAATTTTGGAATTATTTTTCTGGAATGGCCATCAGAGTTGTCATCATACTACCCTTGATGTCCTGAATGCCATTAAATGTCTTCCTTTCAATATTTCTTTTATCTTTAAGTAAAGAAAAAAAGTCATTGGGGGCCAGATCATGTGAGTAGGGTGGGTGCTCCAAAACTGTTATCTGTTTACTAGCTAAAAAATCCTTCATAGATGGTGCCATGTGAGCTGGTGCACTGTCATGATACAAGAGCTCCTTCACGACCATTTTTGCACACACCTTTTTCAAGTCAAGATTTTCATTTAAGATTTCCCTGTTTCTCTATCAATGTTTATTTTGTCTGCTATGCTACTCACAGTCAGTCAATGATTTTGAAATACAATTCAGTGAATTTCTGCAATATTTTCATCAGTTCTGCTCTTTACTGGCTGTCCTGTCCTCTCTTCATCAGCGATGCTTTCTCTCTCCTCAGAAAAACGTTTAATCCATTTGTACACTACCATTTTCTTTGTGGCTTTATCCCCATAAACTTGGACAAGCATGTCCCTGATTTCACTTCCACTCTTGCCAAGTTTAACAGAAATTCAGTGTTTGTTTGTTGCTCTAATTCAAATTCCAATATTCTCACAATGATACTCTGATGGCCATTCCAGAAAAAGAGTTCCAAAATTGTTCTGACAGGTGGATTAGACACTGGCATTAGTACATAGCTTCCAGGGGGGAGTACTTTGAAGTGATCTTAGTGATATTCAGCAATGAGGTATGCAGCACTTGTTATAGAAAGAGTTCACAAACTTAACTGTCACACCTCATATGTTTCTGTAGTCTTGGATGCAAAAAATTTATAAATGTTATTCTGAATATAAAACTTTAAAAAAATAAAATTGCTTTCCAAATTAATCACTAATAAGTACTTTTTAATTTAAATGTCTTTAAAATCCTCATTGAAAATAGTACATGACCAATTTTTTTAAGCCTTTGAAACTGGAAACTAGATCTGAAACAAAAATTACAAATTGGCTAGACTCCTGAAAAATTAATACATTTGGTGTCTACTTCTGAAATTGTCATAACAGCTACATGTTAAATATATGCGCAATCCTACTCCTCTGACAGAAAGCACTCACCTGCTGATGCATTCTGGCTTTCTCTAAATCCAGGCTGCCACCTGGAGTATGGGTATTAACCAATAATTCTTCAGCTTCCGTTATCCACTGTGTTAGGTCATTAAGATCACTGTGGAACTGTCTCCATTCTTCTACAGCCCTACCAAAATAACTAGAAGACAAAAGACAAAATAAAATAGGTTTCCCAACTTTCCAGGACTGCCTAAAATTTTTTCCAAAAAAAATTTTAAATCTCATTTAAACTTAAAGCCCCCAAACAAGGGAATTCTCACAGCTCATTTCTTTACAAAGCCAATTTTCATAGTGTGTTATAGTCAATAATTCCTCTAAGAAAAATAGGCATCACATCAAGAGCAAAGCAAACCATGCACACTACCACTCTCCAAACTCCTTCTCTCTCACATGTATACATACATGAACATGCACAAACTCATGCACACACTAAGGCAGCTTTTTAACTGGAAAGATATAGCCTTTTCTGGCTTATAAAACCAAGGTTGATTAGCTGTAGGCATATTAACCCACTGAACTTTGTACACTTAACATTTAAATACCATAAAATGTAATATATAACAAAGTCTAAGAAGTCAAAAAACTTCAGAAATTATTTATATTCCCTTAGCTCTATGTTATAAACTGAACTATATCCCACCAAAATTCATATGTTGAAGCCCTGGCCTTCTAATGTGTTTGTATTTGGAGTCAGAGTTTTTAAGGAGGTAACTAAAGTTAAATGAGGTTATAAGGGTGAGGTCCTAATCTGAAAGGAATGATATACTTAAAAGAAAAGGAAGAGTCTGGGTGCTGTGGCTCAAGCCTGTAGTCTCAGCAGTTTGGAAGGCCAGGGTGAGAATACTACCTGAGCCCCCGGGTTCAAGAACAGCCTGAGCAACTTGGCGAGACCTCATATCTACAATAAATCAAAAAAAATTAGCCATGCATGATAGTTTGTGCCAGTAGTTCCAGCGACTTAGAAAGTTGAGGTGGAAGGATCACCTGAACCCAGCAGGTCGACACTGGGGTGGCCTTGAGCATGCCACTGTATCCAACCTGGGCAACGGAGTGAGATTTCAACTCAAAAATAAAAATAAAAAATAAATAAAAGAGGAGGAAGAGTTACTACAGAGTTCTCTCATGTGAGGATGAGGGCATAGCAAGAAGGTGACTGTCTGCAAGCCAGGAAGAGAGTCCTCATCAGAAGCCAACCCTGCTAGCACACTGATCTTGAATTTCTAGCTTCCAGAACTGTAAGAAAATAAACGTCTGTTGTTCAAGTCACACAGTATATGGTATCTTGTTATGGCAGCCCAAGCAGCCTAATGTACTTTAGGTAATGACTAGTCCTGAGTGTCCCAATTACCTGAACACAGCACAGTATGGAAGGAAGTGCATGCAAAGCCCAGGTTAGGCAATGACACGAAGAGTCATTGAGATTTCTGCTTAAACCTAACTCTTTTAGAGATTAGATGAAGTAAAACTCCAGTACTTGTCATATTCAGAATATACAAAACAAGCATAAAAAGGAAAAGCTTTGCTTGATTAGGAATCTAAAGAATGCTTTCTTCTATCTTTTCTCTAGAGTAGTGAAGCCAGGAGAGGTTTAGAAGAGATCTCTGAGATTTTAATAATATTAACAAAATTGTTATTTTATATAACAAAAATATATTATTTAAAAAATAATAAAATGGTTCCCTACATCAGTAACACCAAAGTAATATTTATATTGTCTTTTTCTATTAGAAAAATTTTTAACATTTAGTTAGCCGGGCTCGGTGGCTCAGCCTGTAATCCCGCACCTTTGGGAGGCTGAGGGGA